CTCTGCCTAAAACCCTTGCCAGGCAGGAGTAACTATTGTCCCTAAAAATAAGACACTACCCTCTTTTGAGAGCAAAAACATCTCCCAAAGGTTTCTAAATAAAGCTCTCTTTAAGCCCAAGAAACTCAGGGGGTTGAGTGAGGACCCCGGGTATACAAATTATACTCGTCTTCAAGTCCTATCGCAGAGAGAAAGAATCAATACTTTTCTTCATCACTGTGGACCCCGCACGAAAGGAGCTGGCATGAAGGTGGATGGGGAGAGACCCCTGGACGCCTGGTGCTCAGTTCTGGTTACTGTTTTTGCTGAATGTAAGAATCCTGAAGGTCACCAGGACTCAGTGAAGACAACTTACACTGATGTCTTGGTTGGTTTTGAAAATGTTGATATAGTGGGTGTAGTGGCTGTCGTCCATCTGCCGCAGGATGGCAATCATGCACGCAACAAAACTCCCCTGCAGGAGAAAAAACACAGGCCCCAAACCCCTTAGACCAACTGACAAACAAGATTTGGGCACATGTACTTGGCTTTCCCACCCAATCACCTAAGCAGGGACCAAGCAAACTGGAAACATTCCAAGGGTTTCCAGGGTACGCGCTGTGCTGTTTCTGCCCGAATCGACCTCTTCAACGTTGGGGTGAGGAATGTGGAGGGCTTCCCACATCCCGTGAGCAGCGAAGGTTTGTGCAGCCCGTAGGTCAGGGGCCACTGCCTTCACGATCTCAGCTAGAGTACTAGTGAAACCCCAGCTTGTGGACTCCAGCTTCTTGTTGAGGCAGAGTTGTTGGCTAGAGGTCCAGAGAGAAACGTCTGGAATACTTAGAGTGTTGGGAGGAATATGGTTTGGAGGAAAAAGAGAGACAGCAAAACAGAGCAGAGGAACAGAGAAGACAGGAAGTGAGGCTCCTGGTGGGACACTTCAATGTCATTTCTGCAACTCTAGGAGCCTGGAGCCAGTTACTCCCAGTATGTCACGCGTGTGTAACTATGCACCTATTAGATGATTACTATCATTTCTATTTTTGAGGTCAGGAATTACATATTTAATGTGCTTTCCCCTCATCCAAATGTATTTGATTATAATTTTTCTAGCCAGAGGGCAAATATGCAGAGGTAAATAGCTTCCTGTATTGGCATCATTATGAAAACAACACAAATTTAAGTGAATTTGGCACAGAGCAGATGAATATACAGCTGTTCTTGGGATGGAGGGAACGACTTTCTAAACCCAAAAACAACCAAGTCTATTCGTGTACACCTCCTTCTGAATGAGTCTATCTTAACCTCTTTCATTTTAAATTGATTTTTCTAATTATAACACAATGTAAATTTAATGCACTAAGGCTTGTCACATATACTGCAACCCAGCATTGAGTTTATATTCCCATCAGTGTCTACACTATTGTTTCTCCAGGCTTTTACCTATTCATGGTATTGAGCTTTTATTTAGTCTCATTTTTGGTTAATTTGCATTTCCTGCTTTGAATTACACATTCTGTCCATATATTTGTCAGTCACTTATTTTTCTCCCTTTGCCGTTTGCTCATATTCTTTATCCTTTTTTAATTAAAATATGTTTTAGTGGTTTGTAATCGCTCTTTAAATATTAAGGCTATTAGCCACTTGTCACATATTTAAAAATGAATTTTTACAGTTTGGTGCTTAAAGTTTCATTTGCTTATATACATTTTTTTTCACATATAAGACTTTAAATTTTTTACCTAGTAAAATCTATTGTCTTCTTTGATGGTATCCTTTCAATTTTTTAAAAAATCATCAATCTCTTTTCTCTTAAAAATAGGTATATATTCATTTATATTTTCTTTTAGCTGCCTTAGGATTTAATTTCTTTTTTTTACATTAAGCCATTCATTCTATCTGAAATTTATTTTGTGGTTGTAACATAAAAGTCAAACAGATTTTTTCCACATTGTTCATATATTTTCCAAATAAAATTTATTAAAAATCTTCACTTTCCCCATTGAAAGGTAAAATTTTTCATTTAAAGTCTCCTTTTAAATTCCCTCAGTTCTGTCCTGTTGATATATGTACTCTATTGCTTGAGTCTAACACTATTTTAATTACTGCAGCATTACAATGTTTTCAAATCTGGCATGCATATCCTGCATTATCACTTCCACTGGGCTATTCATTATGTGTATCTTCCATTTATTTTTTACTCTAATATTTTTGTGACTGCATTAAATTAACATTTTTTGAAATTTCTGCATAGCTATTTTTGTAATATAGAAAGGTCGCTGAATAATATTTATTTTGAAAACACTTAGTTTAATAAATTATTCATCAGTTATTAAGATTTCAATTAACTCTCTTGGGTTCCCTAGATATGGTAGCCATTTCAGCTAAAAATAATGACAATAATGATATTTTTCCTTTTGAATATTTATATTTAGAGTATTTTTTGGGGTCTTATTACATTGGCTAGAACTTACAGAAAAATCTCAACAGTGTTGAGATTTAATATTTTAATTCTCCTTTTTATGGCCATTACCTAATGTGTGTCTGGTGACTGCATGTTAAAAACACTCCTATTCTTAATTTGGAATATCACATTTAATTTGGCATCTTTGGAGTCATGAAGCATTTTTCCTTTTATTGAATTGATATATTTTATTAATGAACCCTCTAATATTTAACTATTCTTGAATACCCAGAACTTTATTAAGCCATCTATATAGTTATGAAAACAATACATATATAGTGTGTGTGCATATGGATATGTTTTATATATATATATATATATGTATATATATATATATTTCTTTTTGTGACTGTGTCGTTGCCACTTTGTATGTCTTTCCCTCGCTTTCTCCGTCTTATGTTTATCTTTCTCAAGCATTCTCGCTGTGCTCGCTCGGTCCCTCTGTCACTCATGCATCTCAGCCATGTCCACAGCCATCATCTTGCTTTAACAGAAACATGGCAGCAGTTCAGCCACTTTCACATTCACATCCTCATCCTTCCCTTCAAACATACTGAGCCAACATCCCTGAGTTAAACAATAAGAGGGGTAATGGATGATTCTACTAACAGGAGCTGAATAGGTAAATTTAAATTCAGACATAGTAAGTATTATCTATATCATTATGTGTATCAATATATCATGTCCTAAACAGCATAGTTACCAACCTGCCTTTCTTTAAATATTCTTTACATAATGGCAGCAATGGTGTGGCATTAATGGTGTGTCCAGCCAGTAGCTATACCTTTAATACAAGAACTGAATCCTTTTATAATAAGCTTTGGATCATCCTGAGTTTTGATCTAGCAGAAAGACAATGTTTTGCTTCAGGCATTTCTCTACATTCTTATTTGGATCGGCTCCAGCACCTGTATGGAGATCTATGAGGGACCTCTTAGGATTTCTGCCTTCGCCGGAAGGCCTTTTCCCACACACCCACACTCCCTCACCTTCTGCAAGTCTTTGTCCAAATTCTACCTTCTCAGGAGAGCCATTCTTAACCATCTTGTTTAAGTTCTCCCACCCTTATCCCGCACATTTTTTTTCTCCAGAGCACTTATCTCCTCCTTCTAACATTATTTGTTATTTGTATTATTTGTTGTTGCTGTACTACTAGATGGGAAGCTCTGCTACGGTCGTGATTTCTGTCTGTTCTGTCCCTGATGTATCTCCAGTGTCTAGAAGAGCACCTGGCATACAGCAGCTCCTTAATACATATTCGTTGACTAAATAAATGGTTTTTATTTACTACAGCAATTTGGGATAGCTTTCTTACTATGTCCTCTAATGAAAATCTAACTATATCTTTTAATATCACAAATAAAAGATGTTTTGCTTTTATAATGATACAACTTGGCTTTCAATAGTTACCTGTGGTTTCAGTCATATTTTCTGACATCTAATAGACAAAGTAGATGGAGAATGAGACGCCAGAGCAACACAGGCACTTCTAAAAGCATCTTAATCACAGGTTCTTGAAAATGTTTGTTTTTTACTTTGAACCAAAAGCGCTTTTCTCTGAACAAGGTGCCGATCTATACGCACACTGAACATTAGTGGAACCAGGATGCAAGGGGGAAACTGAACTGACCTGAATTCTTCCCGGGCACCCATAGGACACAGTTGGAAACAACTTGGTAAAAGCTGCTGGGGACGGGGTTGGTTGACAACATGCCCAGGCTCTGAGCCAGGCTGGCTGCCTGGTCCCAACCCTACTTCAACCCTCTGGCATGTATGTAACCTCACCAGGTTTCTTAACCACTCTTTGCATGTTTCCTCATTTGAAAAATGGAGCTAATGAAAGAGCTTCCTAACAGGATGGGTGCAAGCTTTTGTTGAATTATAAAGCGCTTAAGTCAGTTTCTGGAACACACAAATAACTGGCTAATGACTTCTATTATCAGCACTACAGCTGGGAGCTGTCACTATTATGGGTCTAATGAGGAGGATCCAGACAGAGCCTGCAGAAACAGAGTCAGAACTAAATTACTTGAGATGGTAGAGGAAATGCTGAAGGCAGCTACCAAAACCACTCGTTTTCTGCTCACAAAGACTCAGATTTTCCTTGAATAAAATATTAAATACTCAGAATATTCGGTCCAACAGAAACAGCGTTATCAGTCTCCCTAGGGTGCCCGCACGTCTCGGTGGGTCTTGGTGGGTCTCCGCTTTAATGTATTAGACCAGGCTTTTGTTTAACCTTCAACCTGAGCAAGACTCCTCAGGAATGGACCGGCATGCCTTATATTTAGGGAACCCTTAAAAACGCTCCCCTTAACCTTCCCACCCTGTCGGGTTGTCTTCCCACAAGAGAAAACCAGTCAGAGTTAAGATCTGCTTGCAGTGGTAACACGCCACCCATCTCATCAGGGGAGGCTGGAAAGTTCCAGACCCCTCACGCCCAAGACACAGTGTGTGCAGGCACAGATGCACATGGGGCTGGGCGGGCAGCACACGGGGCTGGGCGGGCAGCACACGGGGCTGGGCGGAGCCTGAGTCTGGTCCAGGACGCTGGTCCCAGGCCTCACATTAAGGCAGGTGGGATGCTGAGGCAGCAGCGGCAGGGGGCCCCTGAAGCGATACTCACCACGTGGGGAGACTGCCGGTTCATCGCGATCACGGTCCGATTGATCCTCCTCAGCAGCCGCTCCATGATCAGCTGTATGTGCATGGCCGTGGGGCCCTGGGGAGACAGACAGGCACACCCCTTCTGACTCAGGGCACTTTTCTGCGGGAAACCTTGAAGAGGTGGTTTCTGGATCCTCCCTCCCAAGCAACCTCTCATCCAAAAGGAAAACAGGGTTGCACAGAAAAATACATAATGTTGACACTAAAGACTCAGTTGAAAGTCATCAGCTGTAACATTCTGAAGAGGAGCATGGGGCTGCTGGGGAAGGCCGCCGCCCTGACAGTCCAGACCGCCGGGTCCGCGGGGAGCTCACTGTGGCCACGGACTCTGCACAGTTTTGGGAGGACAGCATTGGCACGAGGTCCTTGGTCCCGATTCTGAGCAGGTCAGGTTGCCCAGGACAATTAGACACGTGCCCAGGAAGTGAAAGGCAATAATACAAAGTTCGCAGTAGGAGGAAAACCCCCGAGAAACGCAAGTCAAGGAGATGTGTTCAAAATTCCTGTGTTGGAGCTCGAACCAGTACTGTGATGGCTTTTGGCCCTGGGGACTTTGGGGGCGTTCGGTCGTGAAGGCAAGGCCCTGGGTCTGATGGGATTAGTGTCCATGTCAGAGACTAAGAGTTTGCCTTTTCTCTCACTCGACTCACGCACACTGAGGAAAGGCCATGTGCAAACGAGCCACCTGTGAGCTCGGAGGACAGCCCTCAGGCAAACCCCACCATGCCCGCACCTTGACCTTGGGCCTCCAGCCTCCAGCCTCCAGCCTAGTCTATGGTACCGCAGGTTCTCAAATAATGTCATTGCATTATGATGTTGATGAGATGTCACAGAAACTTAACTCTGTTTACCTTAAGCAGCCCATGGTAAAACGTCTCATTATACGTGGTTTCACTTAAAGTCACAGAATCTATCAATGACATTAAATGAGGACTGACTTCTTCAAAAAATGGTTATTGAATCCATTGGGGTGACATGGCTAATAAAATTATATAGGTTTCAAGTGTACAGTTCTGTAATACATCATCTGTATATTGTATTGTGTGTTCACCACCCCAAGTCAAGTCTCCTTCCATCATCATTTACCCTCTTCTGACTCTCCCCACCCCCCTTTCCCTCTGGTAATCGCCAGTGTTGTCTGTGTCTGTGAGTTTTTGTTTTTTTCTTAATCCTTCACCTTTTTCATTCAGCGCCCCCAACCTCCCTCCCCTCTGACAGCTGTCAGTCTATTTTATGTACCTATGAGGCTGTTTCTATTTTGTTTGTTTATTATGTTCATCAGATTCCACATGTAAGTGAAATAAAATGATATTTGTCTTTTACTGACTGGCTTTTTTCACTTAGCAGAATACTCTCCTGGCCCATCCATGCTGTTGCAAAAGGTAAGATTTCCTTCTTTTTTATGTCCACATAGTAGTCCATTGTGTAGATGTACCATAGCTTTTTTATCCACTCATCTATGATGGGCACTTGAGCTACTTCCAAATCTTGGCTATTGTAAATAACACTGCAATGAACACAGGGGTGCATATATTCTTTTGAATTAGTGTTTCAGGTTTCTTAGGATATATTCCCAGAAGTGGAATAAGTAGGTCATAGGCAGTACCATTTTTAATTTTTTGAGGTAACTCCATACTGTTTTCCACAGTGGCTGTACCGGTCTGCATTCCCACCAACAGCACATGAGGGTTTCCTTTTCTCCTTATCTTTGCCTGCACTTGTTTGTTGATTATTGATAAAAGCCATTTCCGACAGATGTGAGGTGATATCTCATTATGGTTTTAATTTGCATCTCTTTGATGATGAAAACATTTAACTTTTTTCATATGTCTCTTGGCCACCTGTATGTCCACTTTGGAGAAGTGTCTATTCAGGTCCTCTGCTCATTTTTTTATTGTGTTTGTCTGGACAGCCCAAGCAGACTAACATAGGGATTTAACAGTTTGATTCTGTCAGGTGTGACTTTGAGCAATTATTTAACCTTGTTGAGCTTCAGTTTTTCATAGCTGCAAATAAAAAGGTTCCCTTACAGGGATTAGTTAGGCAGATGAACACAAAAATGCCTCATTACTGTGTGCATCTGCCCAACTCGTTTTTTATTTTTCCTTCTTTCTGTTTTTGTTTTATTGGGGGGGGGGGTGATTTAGTGTTACACTCATTCAACTTCAACTTATCAATATTCAACCTGACTTTTCAAAGCCTTTACCCATTCTTGCTTCATGATATATATTTTGAAACTCCTGGTTAATGTTTCAAATAATTAAATCATTGCCGAATGTAGTTTTATTAAAACATCAAGTATTGTTAGCTTCCCCTCTCCCTCACTACGTTCCTTCCTTGCTTTTTATTACTTATTTATTTGCTTCCCATTTCTTTGAATGAAAGTGATTCATAAAACCTGCCTCTTGCCCTGGTGGGGCGGCTCAGTTAGTTGGAGCATCGTCCTGTACATCAAAAGGTGGTGGGTTCGATTCCAGTCAGGGCACATACCCAGGTTGCAAGTTCAATCCCTGGCCTGGGTGCATGCGGGAGGCAACTGATCGATGTTTCTCTCTCACATTCATGTTTCTCTCTCTTTCTCCCTTATCATCTCTAAAATCAATTAAAAATTAAAACAACAACAACAACAACAAGCCCCCTGCCTGTCCTGGTGATGCTGCTTTCACCTCCAATTATATAACATTTCCATACTCTACCCCTGAGGAGGAGTGTAAGTCGTCAAAGGGCCTTGTGTGGAGGAATGAACAGCATCCCCTGAGCCCTTAAGAGATTTGCCCTCCAGCAGGAGAGCTGGGGCATGAGTATGAATAAGCAACGCACAGAGATGCCCGAGGTCAGCTCCAGGAGGGCAGGGCACTTGCTTCTCTCGTTCCCTCAGGCATTCTTAGACCTATCGCAGGGCCTGGAGCATGGGGGCGGCTTAATAAGTGTTTGTGAACCGAATTCATAGCTCAAGGTACAAAAGGATAATACCCTTAAAAAAGACAAGGAGGCAGAAGGGAACTAGCAGAGTGTGGGAGTTCGGGCAGGATTGTGCCAGGAACAACTTATTGGAGGTGTTTATTGCAGCTGGACTTTGAAGAATAAGGACAAGGAGGAGATAAAGATTTGGGAAGGAGAGGGAATCCTGGACTATAAAAGAGGCATAGGAATCAGTGCCAGTAAGTAGAGCCAGGAATTAGCTGAGGAGATGAGAGAATACGGGAAGACACAGGAAGTTAGCTTGTATGTTTTTAAATGCTTATGGTGGGGGGAAAAAGCAACATACCATCACCACCAACAAAAATGATTGAATTTACTACTTTAACATAGTTTATAGATCAATAATTTAGAATGCCTATGCTCATTACAGGAAACATTATAGGGAAGAGAAAAATAATTTTTAAGCCAGTTAAAAAAATAATTTTTAAGTCATTTCTGAAGAATCATTCTCTGTAGTAAGAAGGTAGACAGAGATATTATATATATTTTTTAAAAAACAACAATAACAGGATCAGAAGTAGAAGAAGCCTAAGAAGTCATCTCGAACAATTCCTAAGGGTATTATTGAATGGCAAAGTGGGAACCATGAAATTGCCAAAGGATAAAGAGCTGGTAATACTGGGACTAGAAACCCAGCACTGCCCAATTCCTGTGTCTCAGACTAGTTTAGGCTCATTTACGTAAATGCTTTTAGAGACCGTAGCCCTCACTAGGCCAGAGTGCCTAGCACACTGTTGCCAACTTTATGGGGTTTTGAGCTTCATTTCAGTTTTTTAATTACTGAGTTGTAAAGAGTTACAGTTTAAAAATGTTATTGTTATTATGACATGAGTAATCACATTTATCTATTTGTCACAAAGTCCTTGGTTAGAATCAAATCCTTAATCACAAAATTCCTTATGGGAAAGTTACTCCATTTTATAATGTGGTTTCTAAGAATACATTTAAGCAAAAAAAAGGGGGGGGTGAGGATAATCTATAATTAATACTAAAAATGTTTATAGTAAAAATTGGGGCTCAGGGAAAGAAGAGACGGCAGGTACATAGCAGTGTGTCCTGCTGTCCCTCTGTGGCGGAGGTGTGAACTCTCAGAAATGCAGGCATGCCCATGTCATGGCCAGCAGGAGACGAGTCAGGCTGTGGCCAAACTGGGGTGGACGCTGAGAGGTGAACACAGGATCTACCTATGGGGAAAGGGCAGCATTTCTCCTATCTCTCAGCAGAACTGAATCTAAAGATATCGGTAAGAGAACGGGCTTAGGCAAAACCAACAGTGATTTCCCTGCTCTGTAAGTTAATGCCATGCAGCCATCGTGGGAGGTGGTGACCATGGTTAGCGCTAAACTGAACACATTCTGCAAGGTTTTCCAGCCTCCTGAGTGGAGGCTACGCCTCGGCTGTGGGCTGTGCTAGTCTGGGACATCGCAAATCCAGGCCGATTCCGCCCCAGACAGGTGCCTACATCATAGAGACGAGGCCAGATAAGAAAACATGTAATTTCCTGGAGGCTCTGAAGGATCGGCGTCAGAGACACTGTGAAAATGGGAACTTCCAAGAATCCCAGGAACATCTACAATGGTGTGGTCAGGTACCAGAGGTAAAGAAGGCCAAGGTTTCTGCGTAAAAAGCAACGTGTAAACAGGCCTCTGGTTCTGACAGGTGCTCACAGGGTCTCACAGAGGACAAGCAGGAGAAGCGGGCAGTGCCGGCCCCAGCGGCAAGCGGACTCTCCTGGCCAAGACTTGCAGAGCAGGCTCCAGCCAGGACAAGCCTCTCTAACCATTTCCAAAATGGGGGCGGTCTGCCCAGTACCCAGATTCTCAACTGCCTGGGCCAAGCCCTGGGCCCCGGAAGGCCACACACAGCGTCATCCTCACCCGCGGCAACGGGACCAGTGTGTGCTGCGGACCGCATCAGTGGCCATTCGACTCACCACATCTTTCCTGTCCAGCACTTCCAGGATGCTGCTCAGAAGCTGCGAGCTGGCCTCATGGTCAGGCTTGCTGGAGTTGTCGTCTAACTGGCCGCTGAGCTGGTCTGTGAGCAGCGGCAGGAGCACGTCTCTGCACTCTGAGACAGAAGATGAGAGAGCACCGCTGCAGGGCAGGACCACCTGCTGAACGCCGCTCCCCCCCTGCACCGCCTGCCTGTTCCCCAGCCCCGGCCGGACTCCGCCCTGCAGCGCTGGATCCCTCAGGAGCACCAGGGATCCCTCAGGAGCACCTGAGTTTAGGAACTTCAGTCCTGAAACTCGATTTTTAAAACTCAGAAAATTGTACCAATCATAGGTAACTGTAACACAATGCTTAAATTATTTAACAATTTCTTTAGCCATTTTTAAAAATTGCCAACTTGATACTTGAAAGCAAAGCCATATGAAACTAATAAACTAAGCAAGTTATACAGTTAGAAATTTTGTTTTGACAGAGACAGACATAGATACAGAGAACAGACTGATGGCTGCCAGCGGGGAGGGAGTGGGGACCTGGGTGAAACAGGTGAAGGGATGGAGAAGCACTGATTGTAGTTACAAAACAGCCATGCGGCTGTAAAGGACAGCACCGGGAATGTCATCAGTAACACTGTAATCACTGGGCCAGGTGGGCACGGGAAATATCAGGGGGATCACTTTGTACAGCATGTGATTGTCTAACCACTATGCTCTATACCTGGAACTAATACCAAGTAATATTGAATGTAAACTATAGTTGAAAAAAATGTGAGAAATACAAAGAAAAAGTAAAAGTAAAACAATTTTGTTTTGACATTTTCTACCTAACTGAAAAAATTTACTCTAAAATTCTTGTAACTACCCAGCTTCACTACGACACTGTAACGTGCCTCACGGACATTCTGTCCACGTTTTCACAGGCACGTGGGCTTCACAGAGTAGAGCCTGCATCTTCCTTTTGAAATCTTCACCTCGTAAACATTACATGGCGAGTCTATATATCCCGGCACTCACACTCACAGAGTGACGGTCAACAGTGAGAATACTTCCCCTAAATGAACCCAAATAGGGCATGCTTGCTCCAAGGGCGCAAACGGCCACCTTCCCTGGCTTTTATCCTTTCTGCCTCTGCATCCTCAGAGGCAGAGGCATAACAAGATGTTTAGTAATATTACATTTTCTACTGCAGAGCACTCACTAGTTTTTTGTACTACTTCCAACTGTGTCCTTGCAAAAGGTGAAATCTCTAAGCACAAATTCATAGGGTCACAAACCATCAGAGTCAGAGGTTTCTCATTCAATCTAGTTCAAGTCCTTCGTTCCACAGAAACAGAAGTGGAAACTTAAAGTCACATGACCGGCCAGAGGCAAGGCCAGGACGGTTCTATCACCACGACTCACTCAACTTTCCTCTTTCTGAGGAGTCCTGCTGGTCTCACTCGCCTCCCCCAGGCAACACAAATAACAGGAGGTCACCCTC